GAAATGGTTAAAAAAATCCTACCATACCTTCTTTTCTTCAGTTTTGATAATCTATTCTTGAATAAAATCAAAAGTTTAGAGATAGAACGTTATATATTTTAATGTAGAGGTAGCTTTTGGTTTTGGAATACCTGGACACTTTTCTAATTACAACTGCTGTGTGGTAGAGAAGATGCTAGGCTGGTAGTTACTTGTGGTCAAGTACATTTGCATAAGCATGTAGCTGCTATTACCTATTTAATAACCATTTAACCCTGAACTGTAAATCAGAAGTTAACTACAGAGATAAAGGATGATTTAATGGTAACAAATTTACAATTTAAGACAATGCTTTTAATCCTTTCTTTGAAAATGAAGGTAGCGCCATTTTCCCATATTAGGCTTACATATAAACTGCTGCAGATAGGATTTAGAGATGATCCTTCCCACCCCCAACCTGTGTATGATCACATTTTAAATTCACTATTGCAGATCTCAGCTGAACACTGAATGGTTCCATTTATTCAGTCCTTAATCATGAGCTAAGCTCTAAGGCATAGTGGAATGTTGAGATTTAACTCTTGACAGTGGTAAATATGAGAGCCCATTTTCATCTAGAAATGAAAGGGTGAACTCATGCTGTACCTCTAACTTACCCTTCCTTCTTACTTCCCTCCCTCCCTCCTGTTCTTCCTCCCTCCCTTTGTACACTCAGGACCTTGAGCCTGATCGGCTTGCTTTGCTAGTGAGTCACACCACTAGTCCAACTTTTTGCTGGTTTTTTTGGAGATGGAGTCTCAAGGACTTTTCTGTCTGTACTGGCCTTGAACTGTAGTCCTGATCTTAGCCTCCTGGGTAGCCAAAGGAGTGAGTTACCAGTACTCTGCTGCTGCTGCTGCGCCTCTTCCTCCTCCTCTTCCTCCTCCTCCTTCTTTTCCTTCTCTTCCTCCTTTTAAAAATTCTAATGGTTGGGGCTGGGAAGGTGACTCAGTGGTAGAGCGCTTGCCTTGCATGCATGAGGCCCCGGATTCGATTCCTCGGCACCACATAAGCAGAGAAAAAAAGCCAGAAGTGGTGCTGTGGCTCAAGTGGTAGAGCGCTAACCTTGAGCTCAATTGCTGAGGGACCCAGACCCAGAGTTCAAGCCCATGACCGACCCCCCCCCCAAAAAAAAAAAAATTCTGATTATTTTTTATTTTAATTTAATGTAATTATTTTTTGTTTATGTGGTACCAAGGAATCGAACCCAGGGTCTCATGCATGCTAGGCAAGCACTCTACCACTGAGCCACACTCCCAGCCCCAGCACTCAGCTTCTAATGTATACTTTTTTTCTTTTTAAAAGGATTTAGGACTTGACTTGATGTGCTTCAAGAGGGACAACAGCAAGTATCTACTTTTATCATCATCATCCATGTTTTTCTCACTTTGTTTTTCTCACTAATTCCTTTTTAATTGTTTTTATGGTTTATAATTATAGTCACTTTCGATTGCCTTTTTATTTTTTTGTGTCAGTTGTGGGACTTGGACTCTGGGCCTGGGCGCTGTCCTTCAGCTCTTCAGCTGAAGGCAAGTGCCCTATCACTTGAGCCACAGAGCCACTTCTGGTTTTTCTGGTGGTTTATTGTACATAAGAGTCTCACGGACTTGCCTGCCTGCCCGGGCTGGCTTTGAACCATGATCCTCAAATTTCAGCCTCCTGAGTAGCTAGGATTACAGGCGTGAGCCACCAGCGCCCAGCTCAATTGCCTTTCTATGGAGATCTTTATTAGAAACTTTTCTCAGTGCTTCCCTTTAGCCACAGTCTTTAGAAGCTCCACAATATTCCACCAAGTTGGTTTATGTCTCTAATGCTGGACAGAAAGTTTATTTCCATCTTTATACTTTTTGGAGAATGTTGCAAAATGACTGCTTTAAGTAACCTTTTCAGGCTTGTCCTAGGTTAGTTTCTTAGCGTAGATTCTCAAGGATGCGTTTCATTTATTCAGGACATTTTAAGTGATTGTTTTATGCCCAGCGAGGTCAGAGGCTTGACCATTGAAACAATACTTGATATGCCTTGGCTTCCTTGCCACTGTGCTAGAGCTCCTTAACCGGTCTAATCAGCTCTGGCACATGCTTCCTCAGTTCTTATCTGCTGAGTGTTTACAAGCGAGATGGAAAAGCTTAACAAGGAAGATGCTGTGAAGAATTGACATGTATCTAGAACTGTCTATTTTCTTCTTACACAGTTTGGCCTTTTTTTTTTTTTTTTGGATACGATAGCTGAGAGGTGAGACTGATCTGAGCAGAGGAAAGGACCTCGATTCATCTAAATCGCCTAGAAAACTTTGAACTGAAATTTGGTTAAAGTAAAATCACAATACATAGCAGCTTTGTTGACATATCCAAATGTGTTTTGTGAGTAATCGTTGAATGATTTGCATGTATTAGGAACACAATTGTTGCACGTTCTTGACTAGTCTCTGATGAGTGGGGAGAGATGAGTGGATAAGCAGATGGTGGCTATAGCAAATGTGTGTGTGTGTGTGTGTGTGTGTCCTAGAGTGCAGAGAAGTTTGCCTCTCTCTACCCAGTTTGCTTTCTTTAGAAAGGCCATCTTTTTTTTTCTTTCGTGGTTTAATTTTCGGTCTTGAGAAAGGAGGGAAAAAATGCCCAAGAGTACTTTCATTGGGATGAAAACTTCAGTTTTTAAGATACCTGTATTGTATAGCGAAGATTCAGAATTGATAAAAGACCTTGCAGTTGTGTATGGCTGGGTAGGTAAAGAGAAATCTTAGATGGTTATTGGAAAAGTCTCTGGTTTCTTCATCAACTGGAATTTTAATTGTCATTAGACGACACAAAAAATAATAGAACTATGGTACAGAAACATGTTCTTACATGATCTCCCCCCCCCCCCCCCCCCATGACATTAAAGCTAAAAGGGTAGTAAAGCTGCTCACTCTCCTCTTATAAACATAGGGGATCCTCAGAGCCAAGGTTCTGTTTAACTTCTCTTGGTTACTAACTTGACATGGGTGCTTCTGCTTCTCTGTGTGTATTTGGGAGGAGGGACAGCACATGCTTTGTAGGAATGCCAAGTCCTCCATGCCATTCTGTGCGCATCTTAGTTTCCCTATGTACAGCATGGGCTGCCGGTGTCCCTACTTCCTTTCTAAAATGCTCTTCTTTCTGAGCCCCTGGCACTCCAGTCTCTTGTTTTTCCCTGTACCTTTTTCTCTTCTTGCTCTTTTCTAAATGTTGGGTGCCCAAGGGCCCTTTACTTTGTTGTTGTTGTTGTTGGTCGTGGGGTTTGAACTCTGGTCCTGGGCGCTGTCTCTCAGCTCTTCCTTCAGCTCAAGGCTAGCATTCTACCACTTTGAGCCACAGTGGCACTTCTGGCTTTTTCTGCTTAGGTGGTGCTGAGGAATCAAACCCAGGGCCTCATGCATGCAAGGCAAGCACTCTACCACTGAGCCACCTTCTCAGCCCAACCTTTATGTTTTTCTGTTAACTCCTTTCCAAAGTGATCCTTAACTCCCAAGGCATTAAGTATCCCCTGTATGCTCATGAGTCTTTACACATCTCTAGTGCTGGCCTGTCCAGCTTAGAAGTCTGGACCCTTAAGTTGAGTTGCCTTTCGGCTCTTGTTCTTTGAACACATCCTTGATTGAACCTCTGAGTCTTCCCACCAAATAAGCAAGCACAAAAAGAAGTTTACTTTCCTAGTCATCTCCATCTTTCCTAAGTGGCCTTATGTGATGACTTATTCTTTATTCTTTGCTTTCCTTTACCCCAAATATCCAGGCTAGCAGCAAGTACTACCACCAGAATCAATGTCTGTCTGTCTTCTTTCCCATTCTAACTATTGGAGTGATACAAAAATCAGATGATGTCACATCCCTGTTTAAGATCCACTAATTACTTCCTGTTGTACTTAAAATAGGATCTCCTTCCATAGTTTATATACCGAGGCTCAATTTCCATAGTTGAGAAGCTGGAATATTGTGACTTTATCCAGACTTTTAATATCCATAAGGGTATGAATTTTTTAATTGATTATTGTACATTGTGATTTTCTCAATTTCTAGTGTATACATAGTAAATACTTACTGGGTGAATAAATACATGTATCTAGAATGAGGCCCCAAAGTTTTTCTTTCAAAGTAGCATATTGCACTTCATTATTTAGTAGACAGTCCAGCAAAGGATTCTGGGGCAGTATTTTCTTGCCTTTTCCTTTCTTCCTTCACATACTCTCCACTGCCCTTCCTATTTTCTTCTTATCCTGTGATATGTGTAGGTCACTTAAGAGAAGATCGGTGGGTATGTAGGACCAGAGACTGCATGGAAATTGCAAAGGAACCCTGAGAATAACGGAGCATCTTACTGTAGAAATCTGTGATATCAGAAGTAGTAGATAGAGGGACTCCTCCTTGCTTTATCACCCTGTCCCAACACTTAACCACGTCATAGTGTCTTTGAACAACCAACATTTAATTTGGATATTACCGAAGCAAAAGAATACCTATTTATAGAGGTTCTAAACACATACACGTCTTACCCTGGCCCTCATTACTATTTGTAAATCAACTGAGGACAGATGAAGTGTGATTTTCAAGTATGATACATTTCCTGCGCCATATTTTATGAGTGCCTGAAATTTACCCTGAGTTCAGTCATAAATCAGCAAATTGTGAATAAGCTGAGAAAGGAAATACTTGTAGACCATTAGCAGTTATTTATATCATACTTAGTTAATTGGATACATGCTTACTTGACTGGTAAGTAACCAGGAGAGGGCCAGTAGGCTTTGATGGCACGTATAAAGTCATGGGGACCTGTGGGTGGGGTGGCCAAGGAAGGACAAGAGGTAGAAAGGTACTGTTCTGCACCTCCTGCTTTGCCTACAACCAGTCGCAGCCTCAGAGCCTGTGGAAGGAGGTAGCTAGAATCCTGTTCTGTCCTCTGCCGAGGACCCAGTGTACAGCCACCCAGAAGGTACTTCCAGCTAACTCTCTGCTGCTTGTTTATTTTTAGGTATCTTGCAATATATTCAGAACTCTCCCTCCTAGTGACAGCAATGAATTTGATCCTGAAGAAGATGAACCTACCCTTGAGGCATCATGGCCACACCTACAGGTACTTTGCCTTGCCCTTTCTGATGAGAGAAGAGCTGTTAGCTTGTCCATTGACTAGCTTGGGAATTCCTTGAAGAAAATTTTTTCACCAAGAAGGCAGAATACATTAGTGGAGAGCTGAAGAATGCCTTTTGTGTTTTTTATTCTTCATAATTAGGCTGCCAAAAGAAGAATAAGTTGGATTGCAATGCTTTTATATGCCTCACCCCTGTGTTACAGGTCCAGCCAGCAGTGTAGCCCAGTGGGGTTTAGAATAAGCACAGAATTGTTTTCTCATTAATACTGGGTGGATGTGATTAGTTTACAGAATACAAATCTCCGTTTTAGCAGTAAGCACCCTCAGTATTTTGCATGTCTTTATGATTATCACAGTTACGTTTCTTTGTCTTTTAAGGGAAAAATCAAACTTCAGTTGCTATTTGCTTTTAGTAGTGTAAGAAAGAGAAGCAACTTAGAGAAAGCTTGAGTGAAGTCCTGTTCTCTTGGGTAGAGAAGGCCATGCTGTCTCGTCCTGGTCATGTGGCAGAAGGGATGAGGGCTGTCATTTCCTTTCCAGTACCAGGCCCATCTGTGTTGTATTTACTTATTATACATGGTCATTTTCCAGCTCCTCCTTTTTCTACTACCCTCTCTCAAGACCAAGGTTTCTAAGGGGGGAGGTTGAGAGGAAGGACAAGCGAGAAGAGCAAGATAGAGACAGAGAGAGCAATCACAGACAGACTGCCCAGCCCCGAGCTCAAGCCCCAGAACAGGACCCCCCACCCCCCCAAAAAAAAACCCCACTAAAAACAAAAATAGATCCCTAAAGCTGCCTTTCCATTGAGTCAGCATGCTCTCAAAGGGTGGATCACAAGTAATAGCAAAGAAGGGAGGATGGATCAGAAAGAATATAATTTTGTCCATCTTCCCAGCTATCCCTGCACAGAAGCCACTGTACCTTTGTAGAGCGTGCTTGTGGTTTCTTACTAGTTAACATTTCAAAGAGCAAAGAACCATGAAGCAGGCTGATAAAGATGTAGAACATGCTCTTCACAACTTACCTTTTCTCCACTCTATTTTCCTTGATAAAAGTTGCACGTTGGCCCATCCTGCTTTGGTAGCTACAGGTACACATATGCTATTTCTCCTTGTCATCTGAGAGCTATCCAAGGCTGCTTTCTCAGCTCTTCCTCAAACATAAGTTACTAATGCCAAGAGTGGGCGGATCCAATGAGTTAAGACACTAGTTGCGGAGCTAAGCACTAGTGGCTCACGCCTGTAATCCTAGCTACTCAGGAGGCTGAGATCTGAGGATCATGGTTCAAAGCCAGTCCAGGCAGGAATGTCCATGAGATTCTAGTAACGAACTATAGAAATGATCCTGTAAGTATAGTCTTATGAGATTCTAATCTCCAATTAACCACCAGAAAACTGGAAATGGTGCTGTGGCTCAAGTGGTAGAGCACTTGTCTTGAGCTGAAGAGCTCAGGGACAATGCCCAGGCCCAGAGTTCAAGCCCCAAGCCCTACAAAAACAAAACAAAACAAAAACCCTAGTTGGTTGACTGTCTTAGGTTCTGTCTGTCTGTCTGTCTAGACTCAGGTCCTTGCACTCAAATGCTCTTCCACCAAGCTAACACCCCACCCCCTTTTTCTCTTTCTTTCTTTCTTTCTTTTTTTTTTAAAAAAAAACGCATTATCTATAGTCTAAAGAATTTTTAAAGTTATCTTGTGTCTTCATAAGTATATTCCCAGATTGTGACAAAACCCCAAAAAAGACTCTTGAGTGACGAACTTCTCATCATGTCTTATTCTTAATGCCTGGCACCAGTCTGTTGAATTTGTTTAGTTTGAAAGAAAAAAGCTTAAAAAACAAAAAGACAATCTCCTCAGGACATCTTATGGTAGAAAAGATCAAGAAAGAGAGCGATGGCTTTAAATCTTAAACTTACTGTCTTCTCCGTCTCCTCCCACAAAAAGAATTCTAGGCAATGCTTGCCATTGGTAAAAGCCTTGTGATTACTCTAAATCATGATAATCGTACACATCAAAACTCAGCTCGGTATTTCAGTTAATCCTTCTTGACCTAATGACTCTATAAAAGGGGCCAAATTAATTTCTGGAGCTGTTAACCAAATTCTTCCTCCATAAAAACCTTTAGCTTACACTCTCATTACTGTAGGAGTATTAACTGTTATTCCTCTGAAGCCCTAACAGCTGAGCACCATGAAGGATGGTGCTGAGACCTTCACAAATGCAAAATGTTGTGTTTTCATCTGTGTTGTCGTCCTCTTCAAGCCTGTAATCTTTCTGGTCCTGTGCATTCTTTAAGATTTGATGCCCAGACTGGGCACGGTTGACATGCCTGTAACCCTAACACTTGTAAGGCTGTGGCAGATGGGTCACAGTTTCCTAAAGAGCTACATATTATCTGAAAAACAAAACAAAACACAACCAGACAAAAAGGCTCTAAATCAGCATCCATTTAGGTCCTAAGGTGCACACTGTTGTCTTTATTTTGCTGTGTCTCAAGAAGCCTACTTGTACAAATGAACCCCCCTTTCCCTTTTTACTAGGTGGTTTTAGCTGTTAAGAGCACTCATTAAACATTAAAACTCTTCTGTTCATTGTATCATATCAGTTGCAACCTAACTCAACCTAACCTTTTGCTTTTGGTGGGCTCAAACCCAGGACCTTGCACATGGTAGCTCAGCACTCTACCACTGAGCTATATCTTCAGCTCTTAGTTTCTTGAGATAGGTTGTCCCTATATTGTTCAGGCTGACCTTGAACTTGAGATCCTCTTCCTCCTGAATGCTTGTATTATAGTTGTGTGTCACTATGCTAGGGTAATACTTAATGTCTTTTTTTTTTTTTTTTTTTGGGTCTGGTCGTGGGGCCTGAACTTTGGGCCTGGGCGCTGTCCCTCAGCTCTTCAGCTCAAGGCTAGCGCTCTACCACTTGAGCCACAGCGTCACTTCCGGCTTTTTTTTTCTTTTTGCTTATGTGGTTCTGAGGAATCGAACCCAGGGCCTCATGCATGCAAGGCAAGCACTCTACCACTGAGCCACCTTCCCAGCCCACTTAATGTCTTAATTGGTCTAACAATATATTTTTCTGACTAAAATCTAGCATGGTGTTATATACCTTTACTTTTTCTTAACTCCATAATTAGCTATGTACTTCCTTTTCTGGACTACCCTTTACAAAAAAGTTAAGTGTAAATATCTGAGAAGAGCAGAGAGTGACAAAATTACATTGTGATGTGGTTATTGGGTGTCTGGCCAGGTTCATGGTCTAGCTAATTGACTGCTCCTGCATGCTTCTTCTTTTGTTTAAATTTGTGGATCACACAAAATTACTGATTATACAAATAATGGATCTTTGGAAATATCTAAAAGACAAAATAATATTAAGTCTATCTCCCTTCCATCCTTACCCTCCCCCTTTTTGTTCAAATGTTAAGAAGTCTTGAGTAGAGATGTAGCTCAGTGGCAGAGCACTTGCCTAGTAAGTGCAACATCCCAGGGTTTGATCCCCAGTACCAAAAAGAGAAAACAAACAAACAAAAAAACCCATTTAGCTGGGTGCCAGTGGCACATGCCTGTAATCCTAGCTGCTCAGGAGGCTGAGATCTAAGGATAGTGGTTCACAGCCAGTCTGGGCAGGAAGGTCTGTGGTGAGACTCTTATCTTTAATTAACCACTAGAAAACTGGAAGTGGCCCTGTGGCTCAAGTGATAGAGCACTTGACTTGAGTTGAAGAGCTCAGGCACAGTGCCCAGGCCCAGAGTTCAAGCCCCATGACTGACCCAAAAAAAAAAAAAAGTCTTTTTTGTGTATGTAATTTTATTTTTTCTCTGGTGTCTTTTGAACTGGAATCACATAGTTACCATGGTTATTGTTTATTTTCTGAAATTAGGCCTGCCTTTCCAGTATAATACAATTTTGTAGGACTTTGCATACAATTAAGGAATTGCTTTCAATGCTTTATGCTTGAGACTTGCAGAGCCAGGATGCAAAAGACTGCTCCTGTTCTCTTGGAGAATTCACTTACATGACACTGAAAAGTAGTTTTTTTTCCTTCCACCTCCAGCCTTTCCCTTTAAAACTCAAAGGAGATTTTGATTCTGAGGTAAATTATACCTCCTAAGTGTAGAGTACATTTATACTCATTAATAAAGGTGTCTGAAATGTTTCCACCAAACTGTTTTAAGCTGCAGCTGCTTTCAGGTTGTAGCTTTAAGGGGGAGAGCACAGGTTGCCAGTCCTGCTGTCAAAGTTGGCCCAGGAAGACAGAATCTCTTCTTTCATAGCAATCAAGAAAAGTGATGTGAATAAGGTTGGCATTCTGTTGTAAAACTAGGAGCTGAAAGGTTGGTATATCTAAAAAAAGAACAGTTGTACGAGGATTTAGCATACATTCATTACTGTGGCCAGAAGATACCAGATCTGTAGAAAGATCTTTTCCCAAATTTAAGGGGATTCAAAGAGGAAAATGGTTTTGTATGGGGCTTTTCCTCCTTTCCTCCATTTCTCCTTTTTCCCTTTTTTCTTCCGGTTCCCTCCCGTCATTCTCTTTCCTCAGCTTTCCAAGTAGCTACAAGCACACACACCATGCCAGGTTACAGTGTTATAAATAATAAAATGCTAATATGAACTACAAATTAATTGTTAGATTAGTCTAACAAGGTTGCAGTAGGAAGCATTTGAATGACTGGTTTTTGAGGACCTTTGGGAGGGCCTGAGGCTTGATTTTTCAGCACTTACAAGGTTAAAACCACTTCTGTAGTAGTAGTGTATTTGTCATTTGCACTTTGCCCCTTGTTCTTTTTCCCTTTTCCCTGTTGTGGCTGTTGGTTGTACTGTTTGTGCTGTTTATTGTAGAAGCACAGTTGTGACACAGTGTGTCTCACAGAGTCATTTTATTCCTCGTACCTGTACTTACATTTTGTAAAAGCTAATTTCACTTGAGCGCATCCTTGATCAGGAAAAATATATTAATTTTATTAAAATTTGACTCTTCTTAGATGAGATAAAGGTGTGTATTGGGTCTTGCTTACTAGGCTGGTGTTCTGCATTTGAGCCATACCTCCAGTCATATATTCTGCTGCTTATCTTGAAGATAAGAATCTGGTGGATTTTTTTTTTTTTTGGCAGGGGGGAGTGGTGACATCCATTCTTTGGATCTCAGCCTCTTTTGTAGTTAGGATTACAGGGATGAACCACCAGACCTGACTTTAAAATTTGACTCTTGAGCAAACATTTAAAAAAATATACTTTATGATGACATAGGAAGTATACATAGGTCATGTGGAGTATATTGTGAGATGGCTACTATGTTAATGGCAGGCTAATCTAGTTTATGACTTAATCTAATCTAGCTTGCAATTCTATAAAATGTAATTTCTACTTGAAGGAACAAACTAAGGCCATTAAGATTTAGGTATTTGGCAGATACTTTAAAACAAGGACGGGAGTTGATAATAATCACAACTTAGAATTAGAAATGTTGAAAAATGTTATCTTTTATATCCATTGCCTCAATTGTGATTTGTGTGTGTGTGCATGCTTGCTCACACACGCACGCATGCACGCATGTGCACACCAGTCCTGGGGCTTGAACTTATTTATGGCCTGGGTTCTGTCTCTTGAGATTTTGTGCTCAAGGCTAATGCTTTATTGCTTGAGTTACAGCTGCACTCTTATGGTGGTTAATTTGTAAGAGTCTCGTGAAGTTTCCTGTCCTGGCTGGCTTTGAACTGTGTCCTCAGATCTCAGCCTCTTGAGTAGCTAGAGTTATGGGAACGAAAGAATTTTTAAAGACATGGTTTTTAAAGATATGTACTAGAATGTGTCAACATAGGAGAGATCTGCATAAAATGGGAAAGCAGTATTTTCTACTTGGCAAATGAATTTTAGGAACATATGCATGGATGAAGTCCACTCCAAATGCAATAGCAGATAATTGGATTTTGGTGGGTTTTAATCTTATGAAACATAAAAATAACTGAAACTTTTAAATTCAGCATTGTACTGATTTTTTAAAAAATTCATGTCTCCAGCTCTTTTTGCTTTAGTTATTCCTCAAGTAAGGTCTTGTATTTATGACAGAGCTGGCCTGACCTTGATCTTTTTATTTCTGCCTCCTGTAGCTGCGTGGCAGGTATGTGATGACATACACCTGGTTGAAATGGGTTCTCGTTTTTTTGGGCAATGAATTCCAGAAATCTTGAATGTTTAGACATGACTCTCTCTGTGTGCTGGTGCTAAGGCTGAAATGCAGGGCCTCTCATTCTCCCTTAGTTTTTTCACCAAAGGCTAGCCCTCTACTACTTGAACCACACCTTCACTTTCAGGTTTTTGCTGGTTAGCTGGAGCTAAGTCTGAGATTTGTCTGAAGAATCTGGCTTTGAACTGCAGTCCTCTGATCTCAGATTCCTGAGTAGCTTGGATTACAGGCATGTGCCACTGCCTCAGAGGAGAGGACATTTGATGTGACAATTTTCACTTTTAGAAATGTTTATTCATGACATAACTGAAGAAGTGCATGAACCTGTAGTAGGTTTCTGTGATGCACATTTTGGCATGATTTGATATAGCAGTAAAAAACTGCTTAAATATATGGAGATATGCTAAATTGATTGTGAATATTGAAAGTATTCATTATAAATTATTTACATTGTATTGTTTAAATGACAAAGGTAGTTCATAAAGTTCTGAGGATTTTATAGCAGGTAGGATGTTGCAGAAGGAGGCACACACATTAAACACCAACACTGTTTGTCTTAGAATGCTTAGTTTATGGGATATTTTTATTTGAGCTGTTTGATTGTATTTCCTGATTCATTTAAAAAGTAAAACAGAAACAAAACCCTAACAGCAATTGTGGAGTACATGTAAATGTTAGCATGGATTGACATTAAAATCAGATTTTCTAAGCCCTGTCATTTCTAGTGTAAAAGAAGGCTTTCATAATTTTTTGATACTATGAAATTAACTATAATCTGTTTGTTACAGCTTGTATATGAATTTTTCATACGATTTTTGGAAAGCCAAGAATTCCAACCCAGCATTGCCAAAAAATACATAGACCAGAAATTTGTATTACAGGTAAGTTGTGTATATGTAATTTATTTGTTACTGTCTTATTTTCTCTCTGATGTTTGTTTTTTGGACTTTTTTTTTTAAGGTCTTAGCAATCTTTTTTTTTTTTAAATTAGTGAAAGGATAAAAATGAAGTACTTTTATAAGAAGTGACAGTTATGTTATTTCATAAACAAACATATACACATAAGTTAGTTTCTGTAATTGTCTATTAAAAGCAGTAAGTACCACTTAATGCCAGCATTTCTGAGTTTAATTGCAAAGAAATTTCCTCTCACCTGTGTGATGCTTTCTGTAACTTAAACTTTTCATTGGATAAGTTTTGTTAAGAACTATTGTGTAGATGTGTCTTCAGAGTATGAAAGCTCACCATATAGAGCATAATAACCTTTAATAATCAAAATGTGAGTGCTGGGAAATTGCTCGGCTTACAACTGCTAAGTTTCTCTGCAGGGATTAGCGCTGACTAATCTATTGGGACTTATCAGGGAATCCATTTTTTCTGACTTTCTACTTTGTGTCTTTATAACCACAGGCTCTGTCTTCTTTTTTACTTGGGAATACTTTCACATAAACACTGAATTTTTAGGTAACCTCTCTTTGCTCCCATTGTGAATATTCATTTCTAAAAATACATACTGCAGGGCTGGGAATGTGGCTCAGTGGTAGAGTGCTTGACTAGCATGCATGAAGCCCTAGGTTCGATTCCTCAGTAACACATAAACAGATAAGGCTAGAAGTGGTGTTGTGGCTCAAGTGGTAGAGTGCTGGCCTTGAGCAAAAGAAGCTCAGGGACAGTGCCCAGGTCCTGAGTTCAAGCACCAGGACTGGAAAGACAAAAACAAAAAACAGAAACACACACATACATACACACTTTAGCCACATTGTTATGTGCACTATTATAGCTTCTTTCTGACTGACGTATAGAAAAGAATAACTATCTCCTAGCAAGCCACTAGATGACCAGAGCTTCAAATTAGAAATATTAATTTGGCAGGCAGTTGATCTTTGGCCTTACCAGCATAAATGCTAGTAACCTTCTTGGTGACCTCATTCCCTTCCTATGTATAAATTAACAAATTTGGAGTTCAGGATAGTAGGCTGAGTCATAGCTGGTAGTTTGACTGCTTTTGGCACTCAGAGCTCTTTCATAAGGTAGATAGAGTTCAGTCCAGCAGAGTGCCAGGGACAGGCAAACTATAGGAGGTAAGAACCTTGGAGCCTCCTGTGCAGTGTAGTTGAGTGGAATGAACCACAGATTTCAAATGTTGGCTCAGAGCTGAAGAGAATGTTGGGGAATGATGCTTAATGTTGGGGAAGGGAACTCTGTAGCTCTATATGTTTTTTACTCCTGCAGTTTCAGGGCAAGTCCTCAAGCTCAGAGGTGCAGCTAAAGTACTTCAGTACCTGAATCATGACTCAGACATAAGCCTAGATAGCTTCGAGACATAAGCCTAGATAGCTTCGGATTGGCCAAACAGCTGTCAGACTGTGATATAGACGGAGCGTCCTGAACCATTTCTCATTTGTCAAGTTTCGAAGCCTTCAGTATTTTTTGTCTTTTGTTTTTAAATATGTGTACGTCTGAACACAGTGACAAGAGTTTGGTTAGCCAATGCAGCTGTTGAGGTGTCCTGTTTCCTATCTGCATCCTTGTTTTTGTTTTTGTTTTCTCTCCTGAGACTGAGACTCAAACTCAGTATCTGATGCTTTTGCTCATTGGCTAGTGCTCTACCACCTGAGCCATGCCTCAAACCCCAAGACTATTTTTTTATTCCTTCTGCTTTCCCCCTTCCTACTTTTTCTCCTCCCTCTTCTCCTCCTTCTCCCTGTTCTTTAGTTTTTCTTCTCAAGGTTGGTGCTACCACTTGAGCATACAGCTCCATTTTCATTTTTTTTTTTGGTGGCTAATTGGCGATAGAGTTTTATGGATTTTTCTGTCCAGACTGTCTTCGAATTGTGCCACTGGCTCCAGATCAGCTCTGGGTTCCTTCTCTTCCTCTTCCTCTTCTTCTTCCTCATCCTCTTCCTCTTCCTCCTCTTCCTCCTCCTCCTCTTCCTCCTCCTCCTCTCATAGACTTTCTTGCCAGGGCTGGCTTTGAATCACTATCCTCAGATCTTAGCCTTTCGAGTAGCTAGGATTATAAGCATGAGCCACTGGTGCCTGGCTAACTCTAGTTTCCTTCTTTTTCTTTTTCTTTTTATTATTTTTCTTTCTGATTATGGGGCTTGAACTCTAGACCTGGGCGCTATCTCTTAGCTCTTCAGCTCAATGCCAAGCAAGCGCCTTGAGCCACAGGGCCCTCTTCTGGCTTTCTGGTGGTTAATTGGAGATAAGAGTCTCACGGGGCTGGGTGCTGGTGGCTCATGCCTGTAATCCTAGCTACTCAGGAGGCTGAGAGCTGAGGATCATGGTTCAAAGCCAACCCTGGGCAGGAAAGTCCGAGAGACTCTTATCTCCAATTAACCACCAGAAAACTGGAAGTGGCACTGTGGCTCAAAGAGCGCTTGCCTTGAGCTGAAGAGCTGAGGAACAGTGCCGAGGCCCAAAGTTCAGGCCCCACGACCAACCGAAAAAAACCAAAAAAATCTCATGGATGTTCCTGCCCGGGCTTGCTTTGAACCGGGATCCTCAGATCTCAGTCTTCTGAGTAGCTAGGATTATAGGCATGAGTTACTGACACCTGGCTGCTAGCTTTTTTGCTTGATGGGCAAGTTCTACTACTTGAGCCACAGTTTAATGATGCTAGCCTCTGGTCCTAACTGACTTCAAATTGATTTTCATACACATTACTATAAAGCCAGTGTGTTTCCTTATTTTTATTTGTTTTATAACTTTAAAAAAATATCTAAGGGTAGAACTTGCTCTTTGTTTTTATGGAATATACTTTTTTCCTAGTTGTAGGGAATTTTTCTGAGTCTTTGTCATGTATTATACTCTTAATTTTAAGTCTTTTGACATTTGTAACCTTCCTAAAATGCTATCAGACTTTATCTAAGTCATTGATTAAAATTGTGAAACTAGGCAGGGCTGATAAAAGCCTATGATGTGCTGTAGAAGTTCCCATACTTTAGTACAGATTAATCAGTAATGTTTGCATTCTGTCCTTTAATAAATTAGCAATTCACTTTCGTATGTTATCATCCTTATGGTTCTTAGTTTTGGTTAGGAGGAGAGCATGCAGAACTTGTCAGAGGTTGTGGTAATTAGGACTTCATATTGTTAGTCTTCCCCTCAGCCACAAGCTGTGAGAAAAGTTTGTTCCCTGCCTGCTTACTGTTCCCCACAGACTCCCATACTGCCACCTTGTCCTTGTATATTCTGTACATATCCTTGGCAACACTCATGTTTCTTTCTGGTAAATCAAGATGAGATTTATCTTACTCCTTTTCAGTAGGCAGATACCTAATTTTTCCTAGATTGATAATCTCAAAAAAAAAGTTTTCATGCTTTTAACCAAGACTTAACTTGGTTAGATAAAATTTGTTCTAGCCATGAGATTTACATTTACTTTCTGTGTAAACTAGATGTAATTCTTGACCTTTTTTGGTTTTGTATGATTTCCATCCTTCATCAGAGAATACAAAGACAAAATAAGAATTGAGCTATTTTGTCTTGTAGTTACAAAGCTCTCTGGGTTTGAATACTTATTCCACTGGGTATTGTAAGTATACTTTAGGAGCTGAGAATATGAGCTAAGCAAAAGGAGCTTCATTCAAACACAGGCCCTTCTGTCTCCTTGCATGGGACTTTTAGCAAGTGTCCGTACTTGATTCCTAAGCTTGGGTTTGCTCACTCAGGATATGGGAATCATAGAATCAGTGAGAATAATAAACTTTCAGACTAGCAGTCCATTTAGTGTAGTTGGTGGTACCCAGATACAAAGACAGGATTCCTACCTTCAGTCTGAAATTGATAACAAGGCCTGGGCTCATGAGCATTGACTACTTTGAAGCTTTCTGTCTTTGGTAAAATAAGCTTACTTACTGTTATTGTGGGGGGCATAGTAGAGGCTCATTAAATTTGAATTCCTTTTTATACTCTTTATCTGCCTGAATTGGTAGCATATCTTATTTTCTTGATGCCAATATTTAGAAAGTTCTTTTTTTCTTGGTGCTGAAGATTATTGCTTTTAAGGCCATATACTGAGCCTGTACTTTCCAACGAAGTCACATTTCCATCTTGAAACAAAATTTAAGCATTTATATAAAATTTAGAATAATGACATCATAAACTGACTTGCTGAAATCCCTTTATACAACTACTTAAGGTAATAAAAGAAATTTAAAACAGACCAGGTTCTGGTCACTCATACATGTAATCTAAGCTACTCAGGAGGCTGAGATCTAAGGATCTCAGTTCAAAGTCAGTGTGGGCAGGAAAGTCCATGAGACTCTTATCTCCAATTAACCACCAAAAACGCAGAAGTGGAGCTGTAGTAGAGTGCTAGCCTTTAGCATAGAAGCTTAGGAACAATGCCTGAGTCCTGAGTTCAAGCCCTATTACTGGCACCAAAACCAAACTACCACTACTACCTCTACCACGCACATACCAATTTAGCTCTCAGCAGTTCAAAAAAGAAAAAAAATTGAATACAGTATATTATAATAGCATTGAGATAGGTGAGTGGAACCTAACAGTTCCTGTGGAATTGGAACTTGCATAGAGAAACTTCTTCCAAGTATGCCATAGAACCTGTAAAGACAAAGGCCAGTACATAACAGGTGCACACAAACATGTATTTCCTGATTTGCTATCATTGTTCCAAAGAGAAAAATCTCTCAAATTTTGATACAGTTATTCTATAAGATATAATCAGTTGTGTACATAAAAGACAGTTGTAAAAAAGATATTCAATGCATCGTTGTTAATAATTATTACAAAATGGAAACAACTTTAATTTCTCAGCTGGTTGAACAAACTGGACATTTCTATGGTGGGCTACTCATCCGTTAGTAAAAAGAATGTGATCTACTTTTCAGTGAAACACATGTACTATGCAGAA